CATAGAAAGCCAGGAAAAATACTTTGATGTCTGAATAATGATGCTATGAATTTATAAGAATAAATGAGTTTGTGCAAAAGAGCTGAAAACTTTGCATCATCCTTATGTGAAAGAATATATATTTTAGAAAAACTCAATATAAGGTCATAGAAAGCCAGGAAAAATACTTTTGATGTCTGAATAATGATGCTATGAATTTATAAGAATAAATGAGTTTGTGCAAAAGAGCTGAAAACTTTTGCATCATCCTTATATGAAAGAATATATATTTTAGCGAAAAACTCAATATAAGGTCATAGAAAGCCAGGAAAAATACTTTGATGTCTGAATAATGATGCTATGAATTTATAAGAATAAATGAGTTTGTGCAAAAGAGCTGAAAACTTTTGCATCATCCTTATGTGAAAGAATATATATTTTAGCGAAAACTCAATATAAGGTCATAGAAAGCCAGGAAAAATACTTTGATGTCTGAATAATGATGCTATGAATTTATAAGAATAAATGAGTTTGTGCAAAAGAGCTGAAAACTTTTGCATCATCCTTATGTGAAAGAATATATATTTTAGCGAAAAACTCAATATAAGGTCATAGAAAGCCAGGAAAAATACTTTGATGTCTGAATAATGATGCTATGAATTTATAAGAATAAATGAGTTTGTGCAAAAGCTGAAAACTTTTGCATCATCCTTATATGAAAGAATATATATTTTAGCGAAAAAACTCAATATAAGGTCATAGAAAGCCAGGAAAAATACTTTGATGTCTGAATAATGATGCTATGAATTTATAAGAATAAATGAGTTTGTGCAAAAGAGCTGAAAACTTTGCATCATCCTTATATGAAAGAATATATATTTTTTAGGAAAAAACTCAATATAAGGTCATAGAAAGCCAGGAAAAATACTTTGATGTCTGAATAATGATGCTATGAATTTATAAGAATAAATGAGTTTGTGCAAAAGAGCTGAAAACTTTTGCATCATCCTTATATGAAAGAATATATATTTTAGCGAAAAACTCAATATAAGGTCATAGAAAGCCAGGAAAAATACTTTGATGTCTGAATAATGATGCTATGAATTTATAAGAATAAATGAGTTTGTGCAAAAAGCTGAAAACTTTTGCATCATCCTTATATGAAAGAATATATATTTTTAGAAAAACTCAATATAAGGTCATAGAAAGCCAGGAAAAATACTTTGATATCTGAATAATGATGCTATGAATTTATAAGAATAAATGAGTTTGTGCAAAAGAGCTGAAAACTTTTGCATCATCCTTATATGAAAGAATATATATTTTAGCGAAAAACTCAATATAAGGTCATAGAAAGCCAGGAAAAATACTTTGATGTCTGAATAATGATGCTATGAATTTATAAGAATAAATGAGTTTCTCAAAAATATGCTCACATTTGAAACATCGGTTCTTGTATGTTCGCCAAAATTAAGCAACGTCAAGCCTGGCCAGTGACCAAGGTACGTGACCACTTGGGAATACCAGGTACTGTAAGTTTGGATGTGTAGGTGGGGCAAAGGATAATGGCTTGGAATTGGAAATGCTTTGGCCTTCTTCAGGTGGTTGGAATGTCAAACTGAACCCTTTATTTCACTTACTGGGGTAGACTGTTTTAGTTCCACGTGCCATGTTTTAATGGATGTCAGTTATCAGTTATCTCCTCTTAATTTTCTCTCTGAAAGTTCTCTACTGCCTTAGATGGGTATTGAACTCATACTCTTCGGGTTCTCTCACTGGATCTAACCAATGCCCTTAGCAACTGTGCCATGTGTCCTTGAGGACACTATAACAGTCTACCCCAGTGAGAGAAATAAAGGGTTAGGTTCGACATTCCAACCACCTGAAGAAGGCCGGAGTGTACAACGGCCGAAACATTGTAATAAATATGGCAACAAAGATGAGGACAATAGTCCGAATAATGTAAATAATGTACATCATACCCCATCTCAGAAATATAGACAGATACTGAAAGGCCCAAACGTTGTAATAAATATGGCGACAAAGATGAGGACAATAGTTCGAATAATGTAAATAATGTACATAATACCTCATCTCAGAAATATAGACAGATATGGAACTGTATCAGTAAATCATTATTATCTGCAAAATTCTGGCAATCTAAAAATATTTTCTGGCTTAAAATAACCTGCAAAAACTTGATAAGCCATAAAAAACAAATCACTCAATAAAGAAAAATATGTTGGAAATTTTTGCATTTACCTATTTTGAGGGAATGAAAAAAACTTGAACTTACATTTGTAAATAACCTCAAAGTTGAGAATATTGATGTACAAATTGTATGTCCACAATTGTCTGCTGGATATAATACTTGAAAATAAATGCAAAATTTGAATGACTGTTTATTTGCTATTATCAAGTATTTTTTTTTGAAATTGTATCGTCTCTGTCAGGTTTTTTATGTAAAAATCAATGAAAATAGAAAATCTTTGCTACCTGTTTCAGACAGAATATTTAATGTTGAAATGCCATGTAATATCAACCCTCTTCTATGGCAGTGAATGCTGGACAATTTCCTTAACTGAAGAGGAAGCATTCACTCTCATATACGCAGTATTACAGGGTGCGATGTGTATATTGTCGCCATTTTATATTTTCAATTTTGCATATGCGTATTGTTTGTTTTTGATTTTGTTGACTGAATGGTATAGTGGGCACCACCTCTGAGAAAAAGAGCGCCATGACACAATTCACTCCACCAGAAATTTTGGAAACAGCATGCTGTACTGTTTGGCATTCACACTGGAAGCTCAAATACAACCATTTTGGATTGTTTGGGTATCAATCTAAGGACAGTGCAGAGGATTCGGAAGGAGTTGGATGAGTCTAATGGTGATTATGAATGTGTTTAGAGTGATCACTAATGATGGCGACATTATGCCTCCATTTATCTTCCCACAGGGCCCCAGCCTCAACATAGATGCCTACATCAAGTGCCTAGAGGATGTAGTACTATCCTGGTTCAAGAGGGTGGCTGCTGGAAAACCCTATGTATGGCAACAGGGCTCTGCACCATGCCACACAAGCAGGAGAACCCAGTCATGGCTGTCAGACAATTTCTGCAACCACATAAGCCCTTACATCTGGCTACCTAACTCCCTAGACTGCAATCTGCTTGATTATTATGTGTGGGGTGCAACAAAACTTGTAATGCCAAAGATGAACTGAAGGCAAGGGTTATGTCACTTAAACAAGGTGACCATTCAGTCGTCTGGAGTCTGTGGTTGAAGCCAATGGTGACTTTATTGAATGACCATAAATAAATAGCTATTTTGTGGAAAAAGAAATTTCCAACAATATATGCATTTTTTTACATATATTTATGGTAATTTTTTAACTTTTATCAAAAACGACATTCTTGTACATGTAGTTATGCATTAATTATGAATTTTATTTAATTAATAACTATTTGTGTTCAGTTGCTGACATTAATAGCTATCTGCTGATGTGTTAAAATTTTGAAATAATGCAATAATAAAAATTTAAATTTCATCTCTCTGATAGATGTTGTGATCTGTTAAGAATGCTCCTAAATATTCTTCAGACTAACTGTGAAAGTCAAGGTAAACTATGGATGATGCTACATAATGTCATTTAATGCCTAATAAATGAAAGTAAGTAAATTTTATTACAGTTGTTAAATTTCTTTTCATTATATATATATATATATATATATATATATATATTATTATTGTTTTTGTATTATTAATGCGATTATTATTTATTACTTTATTTTAATAAAATCTTTTAAAAATTAGATGATGATTAAATCAAAACCTTTCATTATCTAAAATAAATAAATACATAATTAATACATCAAAGTAAGATAACATCTAAGTAGTCTGTCTAAGTAGTCTATCATTCATTATGTTATGCTGTATTAATGTAACAAATACTGCAAAAGATGCACAACGTTGCTACATCTGAGCAAGAAATCTAAGACCCTAGTAGAACTAAAAAGCCACATTTGCACTGTCCATATTTGAAGATGGATCAAGTGACAACATTTCTCAAAACTGAGTTGCAGCCATCATAGATAGATAGATGAATAAACTGGGATATGTATATATATATATATATATATATATATATATATATATAGAGAGAGAGAGAGAGAGAGAGAGAGAGAGAGAGAGAGATAGATAGATAGATAGATAGATGAAGAAACTTGAACAGATAGATAGATAGATAGATAGATAGATAGATAGATAGATAGATAGATATATAAAATCTGAACAAGAAAATGTAAGACCTTAATAGAACTAAAAAGCCACATTTGCATTGTCCATATTTGAAGATGGATCAAGTGACAACATTGCTCAAAACTGAGTTGCAGCCATCATAGATAGGTAGATAGATAGAAAGAAAAAGACAGATATAGATAGAAAGAAAAAGACTGATATAGATAGATAGATAGATAGATAGATAGATAGATAGATAGATAGATAGAAAGAAAAAGACTGGTATAGATAGATAGATAGATAGATAGATAGATAGATAGATAGATAGATAGAAAAAAGACAGATATAGATAGAAAGAAAAAGACTGAGATAGATAGATAGATAGATAGATAGATAGATAGATAGATAGATAGATAGATAGAAAAAGACTGAGATAAATAGATAGATAGATAGATAGAAAAAGACTGATATAGATAGATAGATAGATAAATGGATAGATAGATCTAACAGAGAAAATGATTAATTTTCACTCTAAACTTCTTGAAGATTTTCTTGTATTAGAAAAGATGATTTCTTTCTTTCACAAAAGATTGTACACACCCAGAAAACAAGATTTTTGAATCATATACTCCAGCATCTTCTTTCTTTCTTTTGTCCTCTATTTTTATTCCTAATTCTTTCTTTTTCTTTTTTTATTTGTTCCTACCCTTCTTTCGTTTTATCATTTCATTTTCCTTTTCAGTTTCTTATTCTATCTCTACATTTATTTGCCTCGTTCTGATGCTCCCCACCTCTTTCGCTCTCTCCTTCTTCCTCTTTCTCTCTCTCTCCTTCTTTCTCTCCCTCCCTCTTTCTCTCTCCTTCTTTCTCTCTCGCTCCCTCTTTCTCTCTCTCCTTCTTTCTCTCTCTCCCGCTTTCTCTCTCTCTCCCTCTTTCTCTCTCTCCTTCTTTCTCTCTCTCCTTCTTTCTTTCTCTCTCTCTCCCTCTTTCTCTCTCCTTCTTTCTCCCGCTCCCTCTTTCTCTCTCTCCTTCTTTCTCTCTCTCCCTCTTTCTCTTGCTCCCTCTTTCTCTCTCTCCTTCTTTCTCTCTCTCCTTCTTTCTCTCTCTCCCTCTTTCTCTCTCCTTCTTTCTCTCGCTTCCTCTTTCTCTCTCTCCTTCTTTCTCTCGCTCACTCTTTCTCTCTCTCCTTCTTTCTCTCGCTCCTTCTTTATCTCTCTCCTTCTTTCTCTCGCTCCCTATTTTCTCTCTCTCCTTCTCTTTCTCTCTCTCTCCTCTTTCTCTCTCCTTCTTTCTCTCGCTCCCTCTTTCTCTCTCCTTCTTTCTCTCTCTCTCTCTTTCTCTCTCTCCTTCTTTCTCTCTCTCCCTCTTTCTCTTCCCTCCTCTCTCGGTTTCTTTATCCTTTCTTTCTCTCCTCTTCCTTTCTTTTGTTCTTTCTTTCATTTTTTCCTTCTTTCACCATTTATTTTGTCCTTTCATAATTTGTTTATTTGTCATTTTCCCTTTTTTATTTATTTACCCTTTTCTTTGTCCTTATTTCTTTCATTCTTTCTTCCCTTTCTTTCTTTTTTCTTTCTTTCTTTCTTTTCTTTTTTCCTTTTCTTTCTTTCTTTCTTTTTTCTTTCTTTCTTTCTTTTCTTTTTTCCTTTTCTTTCTTTCTTTCTTTTTTCTCTCATTCAGTTTTAATTTAATTTTCTTTTAATTTTTTGTCTGGTAGATTTTTTTCATTTCTTATTTTGCAATTTATTCTATATTTCTTTCTTTCTTTTATTTCTTCCCTTTCTTTAATTAATTCTTTCTTTCTTTCTTTAATCAATTATTTATTTTCTTTCTTTCTTTCTTTCTTTTCCTTCATTCAGTTTTAATTTAATTTTCTTTTCTTCATTTTTTGTCTGGTAGATTTTTTTATTTCTTATTTTACAATTCATACTTTCTTTCTTTTCTTGATAACTTTTTCTCTCTTTCATACTACAATGATGCTTAATTCTGTTTCTATAGCAACTGTCATGCGTCATCTCTCATTTTCATGCTGGTAATTGAATGATATATCAAAACCTTGAAGAGGCAGATGTGATGGCAACAGTATCAAAACTGATGCTATGTCTTCGAGACGAAAAGAAGAAGAAAAAAGGAGAAAGCGAAAGGCAGATGATGAAGAATGATGATGGAGAGTAGTACCAAATAATCGATTACCCTTGATCAGGTCATCTATATTACATACTAACACACACTACCTTGTTAGAGGGGAGTCAATACAAATGCCAACAAACACTCTCGACTCTATCACCATTTCCTCATCCACCCTTCTTCACTTCCTTGGTCTATCCCATCCTCTGGCATCGACAATGTATACATTCTATCTTATTAGACTATATATATTGACTTGAAAGTTCCCCGGGAGGATTTTTTCTATAAACATCCCTGATTGCCCGAATCGTTTCTGTTTAACCCTAAACTCTTTAAGCCACATTTTGTGAAGGAGGTGTTGGGTGGGGATCTGGTTTGGCAAGAAGATGAGTTGCTTTTTACATTCAGTAAATATTCAAGATCAATAGGCTAAAAAAAAAGTGAATTTTATGGTATTTTTTCTTCTATTCCAAGAAATTTAATAAGCTGTTTGAATGGTCAGTGGATTCTGATGAAGAAAACATACACACACGCACATACAAAAACAAAAAAAAGAAAACAAATGATGAATGAATCTCATCTACAAAGATGGAAATGAAGAAAAAGGAAATATTAATATAACAATAAAAACGTAACAGATCAATGAGTTAATTTTTTTAAAAAGAAGAAGAAGAAGAAGAAGGAAAAGAGGAAGCAGATGAAGAAGAAAAAAGAGGCAGAAGAAGAAAAACAAGAAGCAAAAAAGGAAAATAAGAATAAAAAGAAGAAACAAAAGAAAAGGAAGAAAAAGAAAAAGAAAGAGAAGAGAAAAAAGCCAAAGAAGCAAAAAAAGGAGAAAAAAGTAGAAAAGGAAAAAGAGAAAGAAGAAAAACAGAAATCATAAAAAGAAGAAAAAAAAGAAGAAAACCAAGAAGAAGCAAAAAAATAATTAAAAAAATTTTAAGATAAATAAAAAAGAAAAAATAGAGGAAAAAATACAAAATCAAAAGAAAAGAAAAGAGAAACAAACAAATGAAAGATCAACAAACATAAAAAGAAATAAAGAAAAAGAAGAAAAATATAAAACAACAAAGAGGATTGAGAAAAAATGAAGGAATGATAAAAGAAGAAAAATAAAAAACCAAAGAAAAGAAATGAAGAAGAAAATAAAAAAGCAATAATGTAGAAAAGAAGAAATAAAGAAAGAAAACCTAAAAAAATGAAAGAAGAAATGAACCAAAATAAAGAGCACAAAATAAAAAAAAAATGAAAGAAAAAGGAAGGAAAAAAGAAGTAAAAAAAAAAGAAAATAACGAAAAGAAAATCTGGCAAAATACAAACAAACAAATAAAAAAAATCCTTGAAGATATGAAATGCTATTGATGAAATAACCCAAAGGGGATTTATGCTTTACTTGACATTGTTAATTTAAGAGAATTTAATCGTTATATTTCATATAACTTTCTTTCTTCATAAAACATGCTGGCTAATAATATACAGAACATTGATGCGAGATGAAAATGCAGTCAAGAAGAACAGTGAGACATTGAAAATCCTCCACGATTTTCATACAATAATAACACTTCTACTTTCTTTGTACAGAAAATGCTTAACATTGAAATCCGAAGATATGTTGGAATAGCAAAAAATGCCTTCCAGAAGCTAAACAAAATATTACAAAAAAAAAAGGAAAATTTCATTAGAAACAAAGAAAAGAGTGTTAAACTGTTGCATAATATCAGTCTTCCTCTATGACCGTGAATGCTTGCCAATTTTTCACAGATGAAAAAGAGACTTGAGACAACAGAAATGTGGTTCTACAGAAGGATGCTGAGAATACCATTGACCGAACATGTGAACAATTACGAGGTTTTAAAGAAAATACAAACAAAAAGGGCATTTATACTTAATGTCAGGAAAAGATAGTTGAAATTTCTAGGTCACATAATGAGGATAAAGGGCTTGGAAAATTTAACACTCACAGGACAGGATAGAGTGAAACAGCGAGTAACAAATTTGTGTAAATGGATGACTGGACAGGGTGTGGGAAGGATGGTGAAAATACAAGTCTTACTAATAGTTACAAAGGTGAGGATATTGTGGAGAACCATGATTATTCAGGTCCTTAAGGAACATGGCACATAGAAGAAGAACTTTGTTTGGAAACTGGAGAGAGAGAGTAAAGAATGGGATGGACAAAGATAGAAAAAATGTTAATAGAAATGTCTCAAGGAAGAGGGATAAAATAATAACAAAAAGACTGCTCAGCATCCCCATCAACAGCAAGAAAGATCAGATTATTTTTTAATCATTTACTTTCTAAATCACAATCAGAACTTTAAAGAATTATGAATGATACCACATCTTTACATATCAATATATATTAGGTTCAGTCATAAGTACATACTTACATAGTCTTACTGTATGTTATAAAATTTGTCATAAAAGTTGTATAGATATAGCCGTGTTTTTTTTTTGTTGAGGCTGGACCAGGATTAAACTCACAACAAAACAACGTGGGTCATGCCATACACAGAATCTCTTGTCATAATGATTTGAGGCACAGTTTTACAAGACCAAATACTCTTCCTGCTACCTAACTCAGACACTAACAGTCAGGGCTGGTGCATACTACCCTCAACCCCTCTGACCTGGGGGGGGGGGTCAGGGCCAATGGGGCCCAACCCTGATTGGGACCCTGAGTGGTACTTTGTAACTCTTGCTATTTTATCAACCTCTTTCTTACCAATATTTTTTCTACCTACATTTAAATATGTTACAAATTAAGCTAAGCACTATTAAAGGATGAAGAATATTTGTGAATTTTGATGTCATTCTGGGGTCTGTTTTTTTTTCATCCAAATCCATGAATTTGTTTTGCTCATGCTATATCACAAAAAAAAAAACTCTATAAAATTCTTTATTTTTTATCCATAATGTTGAATGTGTTAAAATTCTTGAACTTTTTAACAAGAAAGTCTTCCCCAATCACTACAATCTTAAATCTTTCAAGTCTAGGGTCAACCGTCATCTTCCCCACATATCTCCATAAACTGTGCCTTTTATTCTGTAATCATCTAACTTGAGTGGCTCTTGGGCTTTGCACAGAGTAAATATCAATATAAAGAAGCTATCTGAATTGAATTCTTACCAATGGAATACAAAGCAAATGAGGACGATTCAACTCTGAATTTATTTGGATGAAAAATAGTTAAAAAAAAATGTAGAAAATGGGATTGGTAAGCAGGGGGCACATTTGGGCTTAGATTTTCTGCAACCTTTTCTCACTAATGCCTTTGGAAAAAAAACACAAAGCTATTTCTTCTATCTGTGGATAAGGTAGACTGAAACATCTAGCCTTGGCTGATAACCAATTTACAAAGACAACCCTAAGTTCAAAATCATGGAAATGTCAATAGGAAACCACTCACCTATATTTCCCAAGAACAGTTATGCAATGCCCAGTATATTGATATTAAAGAAAAGAAACCATGAAGAGCCATTTCTGTATATATTCTGAAGGAGGAAGCATATGTAAGATGAAGCTCTTGGTACTCTATTCAATTTATCTTAATGAATGTTATGAAATTTGCCTAAATGTAACAATTTATCTTGCAAACTATTGATAGTATGTTCCATTCACACTTGGTTATTATTGTTTGTTTTTTGGAATTTTTTTTTTTTAAATTGGTAGGGATTTTAAAATTTTCATATCCCACAAGCTGTTGATTGTAAATTTATTCCTCACTGGTTATTCTGTACATGTCGATTCCTGACTTTCTCTCATTTTTTTTTTCTTTCTATGAATGTTGCTTTTAGCAAAGTGAATCTTGTCCACCAATAAATAGCACTTTTCCATCTTCATGCCTTTCAGACACATCAGCTGATTTTTTCCTTATCTGTTTGGCAATTCAATTTATTTTTCTTGATGAACAACTTCTTCATTAGATTGGACACCTTAACATAGGGTAATGGCTAAGGAGCAAAGCTAGCTGACCACTGGTACTTTCTTTCTCTGTTAATTTTCCAATATTTTATTTATTACTTTCTTTCTTTCTTTTTCTATAATTTTCCTATATCAGATTTTTTCATTTCCTATATTTACTTTTTTCTTCTCTATCTTTTTTTATATTATTTATATTTTCTTTCTTTCTTCTTTTTCTATTACTTGCTATATTTTCTTTTTCTTCCTTTCTTTTTCTTCTTTATCTTTTTTAATATTTTTCTTTCTTTATCTTTTTCTTTCATTTTTCTTTTTTTTTTAGAGTTTCTTTCTTTCTCCTCTATTTTCTTTCTTCTTTTTTCTTCTGTATATTTTCCTATATCATCTTCTTTTCCTACATTTCTTTTCTTTCTTTTCTATCAATTTCCATATTTTCTTATTCTTTTCTTTATCTTCTTTTTCTTTTCTACTATTTTCTTTCTTTCTCCATTATTTCTTTTTTTTATTCATATGATCTTTTTTCTCAACTCACTTTTTGCTGAGTCTCCATTTGTCCTTTTTCTTTGTATTTCCAACCACTTTTCTTTCTTTCTTTCTTTCTTTCTTTATAATTATTTCCTTATTTTCTTTTTCTTTT